TTTATAGGCCAAGGTGTTTGAGAGATGTGAAAAAGTAGTAGATTTTCGCTTATGAAAAAGGTCCTGTAATATTGTTCAGAGATATCCCCAAAACTGCTTTTTTATGGTCATTCTCTGTCCAAAGGATTTTGAATAAAATCATTTAAACTGTCTGAGCTATGCAAGCATGACAAGTAATGACTACTTTAAAAAAAATTATGATTTAAACAGGTTCTTTTCCCCCATCCTTATAATTGCCTCTTACAATTTTTTTCAACATTACAATTAGCTCTATTAGGTCAGATAGCTTTGCCATATTTGAAAATACCTGATTAAGAAGTTGTAATTAATGCATGCATTTCATTTTCATAATTTCTAATTGATCATTTAATTATATAATCAAATTAAGTTGTATACTAAATATGCTATTTTAAAACTGGAGGTGTACATTTAGTCTGTGCATACACTAGGGGAAAGACAGATGATAGAGACAGAGGTAGAAATATATACAAGGTTTTTTGGGCCAAAATTTTGTACCATCGTTAGCCTCTGTGGAAGCGCTAGTGTACACAGGTTTCATGGTTGCCACCGGATGTGTTTTAAGTCCTGGGCCATATGTGGCCCAGATCCTGTAAATACTTACACACAGCTTATTATGCACGTGATCAGTCCCATCAGCCGCAACTGCATTACACATGCATGTAAAGTTCAGCACATGCCTAAGTGTTACAGGATCTGAGTCTAATCCAGGTCAGAATATGTAAACAACAGTAGTAGCTGATATCCGGACTACACTGGTAGCCATGATAAGAATTTTTAGGAAAAATAAAGGCCTAATACACTTTCACACTGAACACAAATTCATTTTATTGCAATATTTTCAGCTTGTTTTCCTTTCATAAATTTCCTCGCCAATTTTGCTCATTTTCTGTATATATCTATCTACCGGTATATGTGTTTCAATAAACATCTTCATAGCTCATTCGCTCAATGATCTAAACTCACAATACCGAATTTGTGACAACTAACTATTCCTCTTGCAAAAAAAAAAACAAAACAAAACCAAAACAAAACAAAACCCTACAACAAATACAGGACTATGATGACTTCAGATTCAAACAGAAGGAGAAACTGGTTTGTGAGAGAAAGCTTTTATTCAAAAACAATCAATAATAAAGAATAGAATTCAAAAGAGACTGCTTTTAGCAGTTTCTTTTCTCAGGTTTGAGTGTGTTAAGATCTTGTTTAAAACGTAGATAAAGTTGACTGCCCATATTAAACTGACCACCCATATTAACCAAGTGTAGCAAGGGCAAAGGATTTGAGACGGCTAGATTGTAATACAGATTTACTGTAACATTTGCACATTTTCCCTACCTTTCCTACGTCAAGAGTTGCTAGGTGGCACACAGACAAAAAACAACTGACAGGAATTTGAACCACATTGTTATTTGAAAAAGAAAAAACTCTGAAATGACTATTTAACTCTGAGAACATCACAGTAATTGATTACAAGTATTTGTAATAAAGGGGAATTTTAACATCCTTACAGTACACCTCACCATACCTACACACTAACATTGGTAATGGTGCATGTCAGCAGGATTGTTAGGGTAATCAAAATACATAATAAAATAGCTCATATTAAAAATCTCATCCACTGGTTGGGGGGAACCCATTAAACAATGACATAAATGTAAGGTGTCACTTAACACATGCACCAAAATATGATGAAATTACCTTTTTTAACCAAGTGGGCATCCATTACCACTTTAGCTAGGTTCCTTGTTATTTCTTATATCCAAAAGTAACTGTCACATTAAGAAGCTGAATACTTCCCACCTGTGGTTAACAGTACTGTTTCTTTAATCAGCACAGCAATGTATGCAAACAGCATGCATTTTAGCCATTTTGCCCAACAAGCTTCCAGACAGCAACCTAACTTAGATTCTCAAATGCCAATCATTTAATCATTCCAGTCCCAATTCTCTCACATATCCACAGCACCTTTTGAGAGCTCAAGAATGTTCTCTACTCCCAACCTACAGGCTGGCTCCGGCAGCCACTGTGACAGTCCCAGACCCCTCCCATTACTCTTGGTCTTCCCATGATTCACTGTATTCTTGAAAGCTGCACATGCTGTCTTGCACTCCTCCTCCTCCACTTCAGGCTTATACCAAACTCTGATGGCTATGATGTAACTGTTCCAAGCCCCAGAACAGTGAAAGTCTGTCTAGCCTAGCAAACCTGTAAGCTACAGTATGGCTTTCAGATCCTCTTCTGTGGAATCAATCACTTACAGCTACACAGTGCTCTTCAGAAAATGGTTAAGTCACTTTGAATCCTTACTAGTAGTAGTCACAGAATGAATGATCTTTCTGAAGCCCGTTTGCACTATTTATAAGGATTTGTAGTTCTGCACAGGAGGAACCCTGCACCAGTGAAGAACCAGTTGTAAGAATGGGGCCTAAGATCACAAGCAACAAATAAAGAGTGTAGGAAAGGAATAGTCAACTTTTTCCTTTTTAAAAAATATTGACTATACCCGCTGCACCTTTCTATCTTTAACTGGCTAGTTTCTTGCAGGCATAATGGAGAAGAAATCCAAAGGTCCCAGCCTAGGGGACTACCTAGGAAGGAAAGCCTCACAGTTCTCTCATCCAAAGCCCTGGGTTTCAGAAGGGGCAAGAGGAGTCTACATGCTTAGACTTCAAGAACAAATGGCAAAAAGAGAGCAGATCTATTGGACATTTTATGTAAATGTTGAGAAACAATTTGAATTCAGACCTTCTGGGCTTCTTCTGACACATTCATGTCAAATTATGTGAGTTTTCTATTTATTTTGTCACAAATTAAAAATAATGAAGAGAGTCATTCTGGGGTCAGGCTAAATAGCTTACAAAATGACTAACTATAAAAGGCCTCCAATAATAAGATGTTTAAAGAAAATGTCAGACTGAAAAAATGACAACTTAGTGACTGACATCCTTGAGTGAGGCACTGCAGATCAAGAAACAGGAACTGAGGGTTAGTTTTCGATTACATATACTTATAATCTTAGGGGTAGTCACCGTTGTGTGTGGGCACAAAGGCTTGTGATCATCTAAATTACTCTAATAACTCTTTTACTGGGTTCCTATTCAAGTGCACTCGAGGTTCACAGTGAAACAGAAAAGGTTATATAATTGAGGGCACTTTAAGACTGCAACTGAGCTGTGTACAGTGTTATAAGCCCACTTAAAATATATATAGTACAGAAGAAATTTTTTTTTTTATTACATTATGCTGACAATCAAGGAGGTTTAAATTCAGGATCTTACAAGTGCCCATTTCAAACTGCTATTTTTGAGAAGTATTTGTCAAAGTTATGAGTGTTCATAAGTAAATCAACAAGCACAATCTACAGTGCTGTTGAATATTAGGGAACATTAACAGAGTTGTACACTCAAGCCCTCCCACCTCCTTTCACATGATATACCCTTCATTTGTGCAGTATTTTTAAAAATAAGAAATAAATAGAAAGAATTAAAATAGGAGTAAGACAAGACACTAAGCGGACTACAGTGTTCAGTGTTTGCCTTGCGATAGGTGTATTATAAAGTGATTTCTATTGCACAATTCATCTGATATTTTGAATGAATTCAGAAATTTACAGAATTGACTATAGAAACTCATTCAGGGCTGAAGTTAGATATCTAATCTCAGACACACATATGCATATGTATATACATGCAGACAATATTTTGTTGTCTATGGTACACTGTTTGCTGTCTTTATTACTAGCTTCAGTTGTATTCTTATGGTGCTGTAGCTCTGAAATGCATTTATTCTCTATACTGAAGTTTAGTATAAACCAGGCCTATTAGGGACTGTCAACAAAAATAAAATGACCATGTTAGTGAGGTTTCAAAACCACAGATATATATTAACTACAGGCCTAATTTTCACAAACATTTTACGAATTACTAATATAATAGTATAGATTTCTAATTAAAATGTATGTTGTCCGAAGGCATACATTTTGACCATGTAGTAAGTATAATACACAAAAAGGCAATGTGCATCAAAAACGGTATCTTAGTCACTATACTTGTTTAGTATGTGGTGAAAAGGTGCGTTATGTATATACATCTCATTTAAATTTTAGCGGTCCCCAGACGCAATACTTAACCTTAACAAGCCTTAGATCTCTGTAATACAACATGTCAAATGGCATTTTTCCCCCTAGAGCATTGGAAACAAAAAACTCTATCCAAACAACAACAAAGATTTGATTCCTTTTACTGTCATGGGATATCATTGTTGGATCTAAAAATTAACCCACCTCTTTGCACTTAGGCTTTTATGGAATTCCAAGATGTGTATCTTATATACAGTATATGTGCTGCAAAATTCTGGCACAATGGGCTAGGTTAAGGAAGGAGGAGTCTCAGCCTTAAAGCTATGTTCTCTTGCTTGTATGGATTAAGTCAGATCCTTAATGTTGTTGTATCTTGGCATATATACTGATTTGCAGCTCAACTACATATACCAGAATTCCCCCCCCCCCAATTACATTAGATACTAGTTCCGGCTCCAAGCATGTTAAGACAGGATATTAAGAGATTTAATAAAAATCATTTATATAGACAATGAATGGAAAGGAATATTGAGGATAATAACTGTGCTTATAGAAAACAAGAACCATGAGAGAGAGGGAGAGAATTTGATCTAAAATATCTTTAAAAAATAATAACAATAAATAATAATAATAATAATAAAAGCTTGTAAGAGCATTTAAAAGAAAACATTTCCATTAATTATGTACTACTGACCTCATCCCAGACTCTAAATAATTCAAAAACTTCAGACTTTTTCTGGTCGTTGTGCAGTGAATAATATTGCATACTGAATTCACATAAACAAGCATCTCCCTTTTCCTTTTCTTTCCCCATGTTTCAAATACAGGAAAAGCACACACTGAAAAAACAATGACTGCAGAGCATTACCCCAAAAATGGCATTTTTAGCAACAGTACTCACTCTGTTAAAGCGTTTGGCTTGAAACAGATGCCCATTCACTCGGTAGAGCTTCCTCCATCTTCTTGCTCCACGTCGGTAGATTGATTCTAAGAAGGAAATTAAAAAGGTGTAAAGCAGCAGCATAGTAACATAGCAATACCAGATACACCATGTCAAGCAAGTTGTGACTTAAAACATTCTTGCTTTTCTAAACACTAACACAAAGCTAAAATCCCTGCTGACAGAATCAGGATTTTTTAAATTTTTTTTTAAAGAAGCCTTAAATGACAGCTTCTGGAGGATGTGCTTTCGCCACTGCCTCTCCCTTTTCTCTATCCCTCTCTCTTTTTCTCACATGATTATAATCTTGTTACAGTTCCTTGGCTGCTTGCTGTTTCAAGCTCAGGTGAGATGGATAGATATAGTTAAAGAAACAGTGTACCTCTATAAACCTCATGCTATTTATTTGTCACCTTAATGGGTAAACATGTAAAGAATGTGTGTTAGCTGATAATGGAATATGTTATACAGTATTAAAACATTACAAAATCTTGTGTCCTGTTTTTCAATCTGATTTCCTCTCTCCTGCTTCACAGAATCCTCATGCAAAAGGGCTAACATTTTCCACTAGGAGTCTAATATGCTGGTTGTAAGGGCAATCTCCTAACCAAATCAGCCTGATAGTTGGTAATGACTAGGGTTCTGCAATTGATATTTTCCAATTTGGTGACGAAACAAAAAATAAATAAATCCAGAAACAGTTTAGGTTCATTTCAAACCAAAATTAACCCTCACCGAAACAAAAAAAATTAAAAAAAAATTTGTTTGGGTTAATTTGAAACAAAAAGTCAATTTGAAAGAAATGGTGAAATGGTTTATTTAGAAAAATCTGAAACAAACCATTTTGACTTTTTCAAGAAAAATCTATTTTTATTTGGCTGAAACTATTTGCTGAATTCCTCCTGAATTCATGGACAGTTTTGGTCACTGCCAAACTGTATTCTATTAAGTGAAACAATTTTGCTTAGCCCTAGCAGTGAACAGCACCAGATTCTGATTCCCTAACCTGCTATCCAGCCATCCTCAGAAGATTTCTGTGTGGCTAGATCCCTAACCCAAGTATCTTGAAACTCTGTAAACTTGAGTTACTTACCAACTGATCTACTAAGTTGTTCTTTGACACATTATCCAGGGATATTTTTTTTAAAGTAATGAATAAAGGTAGTTTAGCAAATTTTTAAAAATAAAAGTGATAAGACCGTGAAACTCAAGCAAATTATTTTAATTAACAAAGGAAAACAGAGATAATATTTTATTGCTGGTAAAAATGAGGTCAGAACAAAAATCCAGATGACATTTAAATAAATGGATTTATAAAATGTATTTGTTTGTTTTCTTATGATACAGTACTGAACTCTGAAGTGGGAAGACAGTCAATATTTAATCCTTGGTAAATTAATTCAAAATGATCTTCAGGTCATCATCTTTACACTTTTTGGCTTTCAATAAGTCAGAAATAAATCCTAAATTTAAACACATTTCTGAAGCCTATATTATTATAAGCTTGACTCACTTGTAACAATGGCAAATATACAACTGTGAGTATTGTTAGACTAAAAATAGATAATGAAATAAAATGATCTTCCAACAAAAGAAAAATGTATTTAAGTCTGCATTAGCTAAAACTACTTCTGATCTTTTTTCCTGTGTGTGTAATGAGTGCACATTGGTACTGCATCCAATTTTTAGATTTCTTACTGTTTGTCCTACAAAACCAAGGCAAGTCATTTCTAGAAAGGGGACAAAGGACTATTTTGAAGGATTCTGGCCACACTGGAAATTTCAGCCCCAAATCTGAAAACACGTGCACACATGTAGAAATTTACTCATGCAAGTAGTCCCACTGTAAATTTAAGGATCAAGACCTTAAAAAACCACAGTACCTTTCATTTTTTAAATTTTTTTTTTAAATAAAGTGTTAATTGTTCGAAAGAAAAAAAACTCTCAGAGAAGCTACAAGTCTCTGTATACAAGAGAGGCATCAAATACAGAGTTGCTAGTCCAGATAGAGCCTACATGATGGGATTATGTACCCACATGGCTATTCATGATATACAAAAATCTAAGCTTTCATTAAAAAGTAGTTTCTATTTTCATTGTTGCAAAGGAAATATTCCATATATGAATTTAATGTAATCAGTGCAAGGCTGTCTGCCTGAAATTATGGCTCTGAGAGGTATGAACTTCACTGCCTACTATTAATTCCAATGGTAACTCTAAAGGCCTAATTGCACTTTAAAAGACAATCTCTAACTATTTCACTGTTTATTTAACATTCAAATGGGGGAAAGGATTGGACATGAAGTCCACTAGTGGAAACAGGAGTTGGTGCAGAGAAGGGGTGGGAAAACACAGATACCCGAGCAAGAGATAGAGATAGAGGAGATGGAGAAGGAAAAAAGAAACAAAGGCAAAAATAGCACTGGTCCTCAAGATGAGCATGTTTTCCGGTTGTGCTATGCTGAATGAAACAAAACAAAAAATAAATGATAACTGGAAATTTAAAGGTTATATTCTATTCTTGATCTTTGGGCAAACTTCCCTGTGACAGTGGGAGATCAATTGTGGATTGCTGGGTGGGATGGTCTGCATCCTAAAGAGTTTCCATCTTTTAGCTAACAACAGAAAGTGCTCTTGGAAACTGCCCTATCCCAGAAGCAGCTGTGAATTTGGGTAATAAATAGCAATATTTACTTTCACCAGTTCCTCAGCTTGATTCCTCTATCGCACCATAATAACCATAGTTTTATCTTGGTTCAGTCTGAGCCAGCTCATTCTAATCCAAGCATTGGTCCCAGCAAGACACTGGACAAGACAGTCAATTGCACTGGCTAGGTGTAACAAAGACAAAAAATGGAGCACCATGTGCATATAGAAGACTCCACAACCCAAGCAACCTTATGATCTCTGACATCGGCCTCACATACAAATTCAACAACACAGAATATTGCAGTAACCTCACGTGAGACTGTCCTCGGGGTAGCAGGTCCATTTCACTGTGAGACCTCTCAGTAAGAAAAAAGACAGTGACTCCAAAAATGACTCCATCCCTAACACAGAGAGCAGCCATGTCAGCAATACTTTGTGGTCAATGGTATCAAAGGCAGCTGGCAGAGCTAATAAAATCAGTATGGACATAGGATTCTTGGTCATCACCAGAAGCTGGAGATAGTTAAGCAACGAAAACAGGGCAGCCTCCATACCACATGTAGGACAAAAATTGGATTGACCAGGGGCAACAAAATCTGAAGAATTTAGCATTGCCAGAGTGGCTTCACCTATTTATTTCCAATCTTTGCCAAAAGGGGGAGATTACACTCTAAAAATAATTAGCTAAACTATCAATGTCAAAAACGTTTCTTTGAGCAAGTGCCTAAGTAATTCTTCCTTATGCATGGATTGCACCATGGGATGCACTGACCATCAGCTAGAATGTTTTTTTTATAATCAGTCACCGAGAATGGGGTCTGTATGGAGTCAGAAAATGGGGAATAGTATAACACAGAACTGACTGACACTGCAGATTCTGTCTAGCAAAAACAATGTCTGTAACGTGTTAGAGAATACTTAGTAAATATTAACTCAAAATGAAAATGGCTGGCTCACATTTTTAGTATTCTTTTATCCACTTTTTTCAATGGTCCCATTTCAGAACTACCTATCATAGCTTTCAAGGACTGCAGAGTGGGAAGATAAGGACTGGAATGGGTGCTCACCTCATTTCCTTGAAAGGAGGGACAGCTTGCCCTCCTGACACCATGTAGCTGAAGACAGAGATGGGAAGCCAAAGTCTCTGATAATACAATGGGGTGGTAGAAATTTGTACAAGAGCAGCACTCCCAGACCATCTTACAAATAGGTGGTAAAGAGTGTTCTGTAATTTTTATCTCTAGAGAAACAATTGTAATGCAAAGATCCAATTATCTAAATCCTCCTTTTGGTTTACAATTTAAAAAAAGGGAGAGGCAGTGTAGCATCCTAGCACAGTCACATTACATTTTCTTTATTGTTTGGCTACTGCTCCAGATGGATCAAAAATGTAACAAAACCATGAAATGAAGAGATAGGAGTAAGCTAAGTAGTATGAAGAGTAGGGAGGAAATTGCTGACTTTGAAAACAAATAATGTAATTAGCCCTCAGCTACACTAGCCCTAACAGTTTTTTTTCTCTTAATCCATGAATGAGTTCAATGGTTGGCAAATCCTTTAATATACTTTTTTTCATTTTATCATATTTCACAAAAAATCTTATGTTTAAAGAAACCAGTACCTATGTTGCTAGTCAACCCAATATGAAGTTCACCTGATGAAATACACTCCCTACCTTCCTCTGTCTCCTTCCCAAGACAAACTAATTTTCACTTGAAAAAGAAACTTACTGCTGTTGGTATGTCTGGACACTTTTTGTGTACCAATACCACTGCATGCCTCAGTACCAACTGGATAGAGACACTTGTGTTTGGGACTCAAGATAGAGTTACCAACTTGTCTTGGCACATAAAGTTGCCAATAAGCAGCCACAAGGTCTGAACGCCTCCATCAATGAGAATTAGGAAATCTACTTGCTGCATTCTATGATAATGATGTGAGAATAAGGAATGCCAGTAAGTGACTGGTCTTTATTTTCTGGCTCCATTCAGGGTCACAAAAACTTATATTCCCATCATAGGGGAGAGGTTAGCAATTACTGACTCTGATGGCTGTTGGATGTAATAAAAAAACCTCCATAGTATATAACAAAATAACCCTCACAAAACTAATACAGCTAATTAATCTTTCACTCACACACACGATGTCTAGCAGGGAAGTCAGTAGACCTGAATCCCTTAGAGGGACGAGAGGATTATTCTGCCTCTTAAAGGATATCTGTCAATAACTACTATTCTTGAACTTCAAAGGTCTCTCCTCAAAACAATTTCTTCCTGGTTCCTCCCATTCAGCTGCTAAAATAGATCAGCCTCCCTCTCCCCCAAAGATCTCATTAACAAGGAGTGTGAGATCTGAGTCAATCTCAAAATGTCATTTAGCCCTATCTGACACTTGTTCC